TGTTTTGTTTTATCAAATGATTGTGCGAATGCGTTCAAATAACATACATGGGGCAAGGCCCATTCTAAAGTTCTATGGTTTGTTATTTGGTTTGCCGCTATTTGGACTATTTGGTTGACAAGGAATGATTTTTATTTTAGAGGCAAGATGGTGAACATGGAATATCTATTTGAACTAGATCAATTGCGCAGTTATGCTTGGATCATTGACCTTTTTCTTTAATGAATGGGGCAGCAGTGTGAGGGATTGTGCTTGTTTGGGCAGCTTCACAATCCAATACTGTAAACGTCTTCAACTGCTTCAACACTTGAAAATCCCGAGGATGTTTCCTTGGGGAAAACACTCTGACGCTCAAGTTAGTAATACTCAATATCCTAGAGAGAGATGCTCTCAAAGAGTAATTGCAGAGAGAGAAGGTTGTGGAGTTAATACCTTTTCATGAAGGTAGTTAGGGGTATTTATAGCTCCCTGCACTTACATGAGTCTATATGTGTATGTACCCGATTGGCCCACTTGGTAGTACCCACGTGGGTACATCTCCTCACTTTGGGCCTATGAATGTACAACTAGGCCTATTGTGTATGGCCTGGATTGAATGTTGGGCCTATACCTAACATTACTCCCCCCTCAGTGTTCGGTTGACAAATTAAGTAGAAAGCTCCTATGGCCCAACGTTCGACTTGTAGGATGGGGGTGAACATCTTTGGTTTTAGGAGCGACCTCGCCATGGCCGAACTAGGTGACCTGAACTCAGAGTGACCTCATCGGGTATTTATGAATAGACCAACTTCCTATTGAGGGTGTGTAGATGAGCTGACGTTGGTACAACCTTATTTTCGTGAGTTCAACATTCATCAACGAGTTCAACGAGCTCGTAAAGGCGAGCTCGTATGATGAATTTCCCACTTCCAAATGGAGTGGATCTCGAAAGAGATGGGATCTTGGAAGAGATGAGATATCTTGGCACGGCGTGTGCTACATATAAGGTGCCACGCGTCATGTAATGGGCTTGTCTATACTAACGTGAAAGCGAGCAAATATCGAACGACCTGAGCCACTCCAGCCTTTCCAAAGTTCTAAATATTGAGGTCGTCCTGTTATTACGAGAATAAGCTAAAACAAAACTGACAGAATGTGAATACCAAGACGAGCTAAAGTGAGCGACCTCAATCGTCATACTAAAGTAGATCCCTGGGACACGGAACAAATCTGAAGAAATTGGTAATGACTTGATCTCTAGTATTTTTCAAAATTTGAAACTGAGGCAAATCTCTGATTTGTTACGACGTGATCCACCAGGATTTTTCAAAGTTTAAATTGAGGTGAATCTCTGATTTATTATGATCTGAACCTTCGAGATTTTTCAAATTTTAAAGTGAGGCAGCTCTCTGAGGAGATACACTTAGGGCATTTGGTATTTTTCTGCCAACGAAAGATATCCTTCTGCCTTCCTACAATAAATGCTGGCTCAGCATTTGAGGGGATGTGACAGCTGCAGGCGGCGGATTTTGTGCGCTCAACCGTAAATGGCTGCCACATGTAGGCGTTTAATTGGTAGGCCAGAAACACGCGTACGACATTTACGAGAGTGCGATTTGTGAGAAAGGCAATAGAAACGTTCACTTAGCCATTTCTCTGTTTCATTGCACAGTACCGTTTGTCATTTTTCACAACGAAGGTTGTAGAGGCGTTTCAGGCTCATTCCTTAAGATTCTACAACAAAAGGACATTAGCTTTCTAAAACTCAAGTAAAAATGGATTCTTTTCACAATGTAAGAGAGCTTTAGGATAACCAGGGGAGAGAAGAAGAAGAGGGTGTTATATCGGTGGAACCAATTGCCATGATAGTGCCACCAGAGCTGTAGGATTTGCTCGAAACAATCACACCGGAGAGTAGCGCTGGTTCGAGTGTAGGTGGTGATTCCAGCAACCACCATTCTTTAGTCTCTAGAGATTCGTCCACAGAGGGGGCATCCAGTGATGTGGGGTATGCTGAAGAGGGTGCCCTTAGTCCGCTGGCGACAAGTATAGAGCCGGACATGGTTGTATTTGAGGAATGAGAGAATAAGGTTATCATTAGGAGGTTGGACAACCTCCGTAAAGCACCCAAGACTCTCCCTGTCGGTTTTAGGTTCAGGGCGACACTGCATCATGATGTTGCAGACGGTTTAGCCATGGTTAAGGGGTATAAGAAGTTGAAGGAAATGGTGAGGTTGTACCAAATTCCAAGGACAATTTTAATCCAAGCTGGTACCCAAAAGGAGAGGGCATGTACAGTGTTGAGGACGGGTTGGGTGCCAGTCTACATAGACCATTTTTACACCAATCTACGTTTTCCTCTACTCGGGCTAATTTTTGACGTCTTGGCAGAGTATAAGCTGGCCTTAACGCAGCTGACCCCCAATAGCATGAAGTTCATTATAGGGTTTATGCTGTTGTGTGCAAGGTTGGAGATACCTACAAGGGCGGTGGTCTTCAGGTCACTCTTCTTGTGTCGTCTATGCCCCTCCACTAGCGGAACAAGGTGGTATTATATCTCCGAAGGGAAAAGATGATGATTTTTACAAACATCAGAAATAAAGTGGCAATGTGGAAGAGGCAATTCATTTTCGTTCGTGACACGCGAACAGAGAGGATGAATAATGAGCTCGCTGCCCGTCTTTTTGAATGGCGAACACCTAACACATATATGAACTATCCTCAACTAACTCCTTTGGATGTCGACTTGAAGAATCGGCTGCTAGATTATGTTACGGCTGAGGGTTTAGTAGATTTAAAAGCCTTGGTTACCCTGGAGCAGCTCGCATTACTTGCTTTTGTCAACATGGCAAACCTATGTGCTGAAGGTATACTGTAGACCTCACAATCCAATACTATAGATGTCTTCAGCTGCTTCAACACCTGAAAATCTCGAGGATGTTTCCTTGAGGAAAACACTTCGACGCTAACACTTCGACGCTCAAGTTAGCAATACTTAATATCCTAGAGAGAGATGCTCTCAAAGAGTAATTGTAGAGAGAGAAGCGTAGTGGAGTTAATACCTTTTCATGAAGGTAGTTGGGGGTATTTATAGCCCCCTGCACTGACATGAGTCCATATGTGTATGCACCCGATTAGCCTACGTGGTAGTACCCACGTGGGTACGTCTCCTCACTTTTGGCCTATGAATGTACAACTGGGCCTGTTGTGTACGGCCCGGATTGAATGTTGGGCCTATACCCAACATTTAAATGTTTGGGCAGCTTCACAATGCAATACTGTAGACGTCTTCAGCTGCTTCAACACCTGAAAATCCCGAGAATGTTTCCTCGAGGAAAACACTCCGACGCTCAAGTTAGCAATACTCAATATCTTAGAGAGAGATACTCTCAAAGAGTAATTGCAGCAAGAGATGCTCTCAAAGAGTAATTGTAGAGAGAGAAGTGTAATGGAGTTAATACCTTTTCATGAAGATAGTTGGGGATATTTATAACCCCTTGCACTGACATGAGTCCATATGTGTATGCACCCGATTGGCCCATGTGATAGTACCCACATGGGTACGTCTCCTCACTTTGGGCCTATGAATGTATAACTAGGCTTGTTATGTACGGTCCAGATTGAATGTTGGGCCTATACCCAAGAATGCTGAATCTTTTACAACAATTTTAGAAGGTAAAGAATGGTCTTGATTTGAATGCGTAGCTGGATGCTTTTGTGAATTTACTGTACTCTTTCTCGTTTGGATCTTTGGTGTAATCTGGATTGAGAAGGGTAGTTGGAACAAAAATTAAAACGGGTAGGTGTAAGATAAATCTAATTGATGAAGTGCAGG